CGGTGAAAAACTTTTCGAAGAAACTGTACACAAGTAAGATAAAGAAGAAGCTAAGATGAAAAGTTGGGTTTGGGACTTGAAAAATGCCTAAACTAGCACAAATCCTCAAAAGGTCAAGCGGTTCGAGGCAGGTATGTGTATCGGTCTTTTTCCTTTCTGATCATTGTATAAAACAAATAGATTCCATGTTGCCGTGGGTCTGTTCAGTAATAGATCACAGAGGACGTCAAAATATGGTAAAAACAACAGTGACACACTCGCCTGCGGCTCGTGTGCCACTTCTTTGTTTTTACGACATTTTGACGTCATCTGTGATCTATTACTGAACAGACGCACGGCAACATGGAATCTATTTGTTAAATAATATACCCTTCACAGCGGCACCCACTTAGTCGATATTGGCAGTATAACCCCCCCCCGGGGGGGGTAGTATGATAGCTGCTAATTCAAGTTTGATTTTAGTTATTCTTTGCTTTTTTCTAATACCAAAGATAATGTCATTCTGGGAGGAAGAAGAGACACTGACGAGAAAACTACGCACGTATTCAGTTAAAAATGTAAAGATCACCGAAGCAGATATGGTTCGGGCTAAAAAGTTGATAAAGGACTGCATTGAAGATCGGGTCATGAAGTACTGTCAACAGCATTCGCCTCTTCCAATCTTGAGGCTGGAATACACAGGCAGCGTGTATGAGGGCCTGAAAACTGAGGCCGCAGATGAAGCAGATATTATGGTTGTGCTGAAGACAGCAAGGCAGGAAGTTGCGCCAGAAAACACAGAGATTCCTGGTTATGCGCGTCTTAAGGCCAGGGACAACTCTAAACTCCGCCATTATGCAAGTTCTGCAGGATATATTTTCCCAGAGCGACTTCGAAACGGCTGGTTTAATAGTCTTGTAGCCCGAGCAGTGGATGATTTTAATAACTCATCAACTTCTGACGTCCATTTGGGTGTGCGTTACCATGGACCTGCCACCCAGATCGACATTAGAGAAAAGACAACCAACGAGATTCTGCTGTCAACTGATCTCGTTCCATGTTTTCAAACTGGTCCTGATGATTATTTTGTACCTAAGTCTTATACCTTTAAAGGGTTTTCGCATCCAGAGCTTCTCTGGAGACAGTCATTTTCGCTAAAAGAAAAAGCAATACTGCAGCACATGGATTTCGATCAAGGATGCAGGCACGAACTTCTCAGAGTTGTGAAAACCATCGTCAACAAGGAGGAAAGGTCTTCCCTTAGACTTTTGCGATCATACCATTTAAAAACTGCGTTCATGCACTACATAAAAGAGAATCCGGCCAACTGGGATAACAACTCTCTGGGAAGACACTTTTATGGCTTTCTCCAACGTTTGAAAATTTCTCTCGCAGTGAAAAATCTCCCTCACTACTGGTTACCTAGAGTAAACCTCCTGGAAGAGGATTTCAGTCCTGTCGTAATTCACCAGATGGAAAATCGTTTGGAAAATATTCTTACTAGCAAGGACAAATTAAATCAAATTCTTGGCTGCAAAATGCCGCAAACCGAGACGCAAATACAAAAAAGGAGGAACCCAAATGTTTTGAACGAGCCCTCGCCGCCAGCTCACTTTTCTGGCAGGTCTCGTTTTGTTGTGCCTCGGGACTCATATTCCCGCAGAAATGCCCAGCAATGGACAAGCGCTTCTCGCACTGATAGGTCGCAAAATGCAGAAGTAAAACTCAGAACCCGTTTTCATTTATTGCGTCGGGGTTAATGGTTATAAAAATCATATTTGACATTATAATTATAATCCCAGTAGAGTTACTATTACTTGCGCTAAAGTTAATCAAGAAAGCCATTATGATCCCAGTAGAGTTGCTATTATTTGCGCTAAAGTTAATCAAGAAAGCCATTATGATAATGTTAGAAGCATTAGTGGTAGCGTTACAGCTGTTTGTAGAAATTGTGTGTTACGTGTTGTGTTTTTATCAGTGGTCATTATCTGGCAAGAATGAAAGTCTCGCTCTAAGTGGTGTAGAGCTAAAGGATAGTCCTGTTAATCAAACAGATTCCATTTGATCATGTTACCAAACTGGCAAAGGTTCAGTTTCGCAAGGTAACATAACTACTTGGATTGTCAGAAGTGAAATAACGTGGTTGCCGGATTC